AAAGTGGTTATATTCTTCAAAAAAAACATCAGAGCACCACATAGAGGGATACTCTAAGCAGGAACTGAAACTGAGGCTTTTGGCCTCTCCAATTTAACAAGTATTTCCCACTTCAGTCTCCTACATTCCCCTGGGACAGAAAAGAGGGTAAAATCCCATTCATAAGCTTTCTTATGTCTTAAGAACTTGCGTCAATAACTTCTCTCTCTTGTTCTTACAGGTCTTCCCTGGCAACCAGTTTCTAGTCCTTACATGAGCAGCCAACCTGGTCCTCCCAATGCCCACAGGAAACGGAACACTAGAGTCCTCTTCACTTACTCTCAAATAGTTACTAACTGACTTTTTATTTTTTTTTAAATATTTATTTATTTACTATGTATACAATATTCTGTCTGTGTGTATGTTTGCAGGCCAGAAGAGGGCACCAGACCTCACTCATTACAGAAGGTTGTGAGCCACCATGTGGTTGCTGGGAATTGAACTCAGAACCTTTGGAAGAAGCAGGCAATGTTCTTAACCACTGAGCCATCTCTCCAGCCCCACTAACTGCCTTTTTAGTGTGCACAGTGAGCTAGGTATTAGAGAGACACCTTGAAGAGCAGACAAGGTGTCTGGCTTCCCTGACTTTCTACTTTATCTTGCTTTGTTCTTTTTCAGTCAAGTAGAAGAGGGACATCTGTACTCACCAACTCATATTCTTTATTTCTTAGACACCCAGACCTAGTTACCACCCAGCAGTCTGCTGAAAGTGATTCTACTAAGGTTCCAGTGCTCACTTCTCAAACTCCGAGGTGCCTGACTCTCGTTCCTCCTCAATACTCCCATTTCCTCCCAACACCTCTACTTCTTCACAATCCTTCACATTAAAATATTGTCCCAGCCAGGCAGTGGCGCACGCCTTTAATCCCAGCACAGGGGAGATGGAGACAGGCAAATCTCTGTGAGTTCGAGGCCAGCCTGGTCTACAGAGCGAGTTCCAGGACAAAGCTAGAGAAACCCTGTTTCCAAAAAAAAAAAAAATTGTCCCATAGTTTGTTCCTTTTCATCCTATATAAGCATCACTCTTCACATTCCTTATTCCACACTGATAACTCATAGCTACTCTTTGCTAATATAGTCAATTATGTGTGGCACATACACACGCAATACAATAATAAATAAATATAAATTAAAAAAAGCTTTATTCCCTAGCATCAAATGAGTAGTGGTGATAAAGACCCTCCCCAGTTTTATAATCAAAAACTGCCAGACAGAAATATATTTCTCTTAGTAAATCTGCTTTCTTGCTCTTCAAACACTCTTTTCTCTCCTAAAACCTCATCATCATCATGCCCTATAGAATTTGAAAGGCTGTATACTCTTCCCTGCCAACCCAGGATATGACCACACTGTATTATAGATTCACCTATGTCTAATTCTTTTTTCTTCTACTGCTATACCAACCACTCATCTACTCAAAATCATTTCTTTAATTATTTTCGTTTTCTGCTGTCGTTTGAGGAGCTTGCAATCCAATTCAAGGACTACCACTGAGCCACATTTCCAGATTTAATCCTGAACTTAATACATTTTTCTTCTTTTAACAGGTTTCTCCCATTCTATTGGTGGATTCTTGTTTGCATATAAAATGTCTTTATATATCTCTAAAAAGAAAATTCATGCTGGGCAGTGGTGGCGCGAGTTCTAGGACAGGCTCCAAAGCAACACAAGAAACACTGTCTCAAAACAAAAGAAAGGAAACTCAGAGGACCAACTCTTTGCAGTTTTCTTTTTCTTAATTCCCACCATCTTTTCACCCTATAGGAACCAAGTTTTCATTCATCGAGATGATTCAAATGATCAAGGTAGGCAAAATCTTCATCAGTATATCCAATGGTCAATTATCTGTCTTTGTGTAGGTGTAATTCTAAAAGTTTTAACCGTTGCCTACTCTCTATTTTTTTTTTTTTTCTTAAAGATGTTGGCAACACTTCACTCGCTGCCAACAGTAGGACATAAGTATGAGTTTTTATTTAATCCACTGTTGTGTCCCCAACACTTAACACTAGCGTGTGGCACATAGTAGGTGTTAAACGAATACAACTGAAGAACTGCTTCTCATCTGTAAAACCAGACACACGGCAGGTGCTTAAATATTGATAAGAGTTCTTTCTACGTGAGAGAAAAATCCCAGGCTGGCAGTGAACTGAGTACTGAGTTACTGAGGACGACTGTGCTACCGACTTGTTAGACTCAGGAGGTCCTAACGCCTGGTCCTCGGTGAGGTCAAGCAGCAGCAGAGATTGTAGATTTTACGCTGTCGGTGATACCAGAGGGCTCTCAATAGGGGCGGGGGCGAAAAGTCGCTCAAGGAACGCACCGCGGAGGATAAGACCAGGGGAAACACTCCTCTGACCGAACAGGCGACGAGTTTCCCCGCCTGTGGGCGGAGGACAAGAACGCTCCCCCCGCCCCACGCTGCCACAGTCAAGCCCCGCGATCGTTTCCCACCCGCGCGGGAAAGGGTACTCACATTCGCCCTCTTGGCCGCTTGCATCGCCATCTTGGCGAGCTGTGGGAGGTTACCGTGGGATTCCTCTGAGTGTCTCTAAAGCTCGGTTGCCGTGGAGGGCGACACGGCGCCAGATACAGAGTGTCCACAGCCAGGCAGCGCCGGAAGCTGTCACAGCGCTGCCGGGAAGCCCGCGCCTCAAACTAGGCCGTGTCGACGTCCTCGAAAAGATGTTCCAGACCAAACTACCGAGTGCGTTCTCAGACCGGAAGACGAAAAGGCGAGCTCCAAGGCGCTTCCGGAGAGCGGACAGGAAGGGGCGGAGCGAAGGCTACGGGAAGGGAGGTGTTCCTGTTTGAAGGGGCGGGGCTGGAGGACCCAGGGGCGGGGCGGGGTCTATTAGAGGAGCCCGCCCCGCGGGGCTGCGACGAGGCGCTGCGGACGGACGCGGAGGTGGGCGTGGCGCGCTCGCAGCGTGCTTAGAGCATCCTACAGGTTTCTGAATCTGACGCTTACCCAGAGCGGTGGTGCTGGGCCTGGATCTCGGGTCGCCCATCCGCCTG